GCTGGAGGCGGGAGCTAGGGGGCGGGGTGCAGAGAGATGGGGGTTAGTGGAGAAACCGTAGGGGGGCATGTGGACTGGAAAGGGGCCTCGAAGGGGCGTCGCCTAGATTTGGAGGAATCTAGGTGTTCAGAGATTGCACACAAAGCCGGGAGAAGCAAGTACAGCTGGGGTCGTAAAGAGTGGGGAAGCTTAGCATCCACGGCGGTGGGGGTCTGGGTCCTGGTTCTGGAGCGTGAGGGAGGACGGGGTAAGTGAGGTTAAGGCCAGGGAGACTGAAGCGGTGTCAGAACAGGCCTCGGTGAATTGGGGGCGCGGGGGTCGGAGCGGCTTAGGAAGGTCTGGGAGGGAAATGGAGGCAGGGTGGTGATGGAGGTGGGGAGCTGGAGGCATCCGTGACAGGGAGGAGATGGGTACCTTGTGGGCGAAGGCTGAGTCAGAAGGGAGGTCCTGAGGGCGACCCGGGAGGAGAGGGTAGAAGAGGGAAGGCCAGTGGAGTGCATATCCAGGCCACTGTGGATCGTCTGGGGAGGACTCGGAGAAGAGAAGGGCCAGGGGCAAGTCTGGAGACTCAGTGGGGAGGAGTGTGAAGAGCTGGAGCATGGGAGGACGGGAGACGGAGGGCTCTGGTGGGCTGGGATGAGCAAAGGAAGTGTAGAGGGGGCAGGGGCTTTGGGGACTGGGTGGGGTCTAGGAAGGGGAGTGGCTGAAGAGAGATGTCAGTCCTGGGTGGCATCTGTAGGGAGTAATGGAAGGGTTTGTGAAGAGGTGGGCAGTGACGGTAGGCAGGGAGGCGGCAGGAAGGGAATCATGAGGCAGCGGGGGTGGGTGAGGGAGAGTGGGTACATGACATCAGGGCATCTGTCATGGGGATTGGGGGTTCCTAGGAGTGGGACGAAGGAGGCCCACTAGGGCCAAGTTCCTGAGTCAGGGAGGGAAGCCCAGTAGACCGAATCAGGTCCGGGGAGCCTGAGAGAGGAGGGTAGCTTAAGAGAGGGCCAGGGAGAAGGGGTGGACCAGACAAGGGGGTCCATTCATTTGTTCGACAAGTAGTGGGCAGAGGTGGGGGCTGGTGCAGCTGGGACTAAGCGTGACAGGAAGGAGGTAGGGGCTGTGTGGGTGATGGCTGTGTCAGACAAGAGGTCTGGGAGGAGAAAAGAGGGAAGTCGCCTGGAGATCCAGGCTTCTGTGACATGCTTGGGGCAAGACTAGGGGTTCAGGGTGTGTGACAAATGCTGTCATGGGTGTCATGGATAAGAGAAGGTCTCTGCTGTCTCGGGGCTCCGCGTCCAGTGGGGAGATATGGACAGATAAACCACACGTGTGGTGAGAGATCAGGTACTCAGGGCCGTGAAGAAAAATACGCTGGATCAGGAGATAGGAAGTGATTTGGGGGACTATTAGGGCATCCCGGAACCCCTCAGTGGGAAGGAGACATTTGAGCCGAGAGCCAGAGGAGGTGAAGTTCAGCCATGAAATTCAATCTTCACACACACACACACACACACACACACACACACACACACACTCACACTCACCCTGAAGCAGCCCCAACCACTCCCAGACCTCCTTTCCTCATCCCACGTGCAGACAGAACATCAGAACATTCTGGGCAGAAAGTGCAGAAAGCGCAAAGGCCCTGTGGTAGGAGCTGTGGAAGCAACAGCAGGAAAGCAGTGTAGATCGAGAGGTGTGAAGGGCCTACAGGCCGGGGAGGCTTTAGGACTGTGTTGTGCGTGTGGTGGAAGGGCTTGGTGCAGCAGTGACAAGCTTTGGCTTAGGTTTTAGAAGGATCCCTGTGGCTGCCCAGTGGAGCCTTCAATAGAGCAAGTAAGGTGACTTGAAAATAGGTGTTTTTGTAGAACTAAATGTCACATGGGCCTAGGGTGGGGCTACGTGATCCATCTTTTCTTCAACGTGAGGTTGTCAGCTGTGGGCAGAGGGGCAGGGATGGGCAGGAAGCAGGTCCCAGAGGCCTTGGGCCATGGAAAGCCTGTGTATCTGAGCGGGGCAGGAGTGAGGCCGCGAACCCAGAGCCTTGGCTGCTCAGAAAGTCCTGGGGTCGGGAGAGGGTCTTGAGGGAAGGAGGCAAGGCAAGTGAATCAGAGCAGGGTGTGAGGAAGGACTTCTCCGCAGAGGAAGGCCGGGTCACTTCTGTGCCATGTAGATCCGGGAGCACGCATCCCATGCTTGTTTCCCCAGGTGGAGGCAAGCGCAAACCCGGCACCTGCCGTGTGACCTGGCATACTGCCGGGCAAACTGTAGGTGCTCCCTAAATGAAGCTTCGGGGCCTGGCTACCGTAAATTGGCAGGGTTGATCTTGCTCAGGGGAGGGATGGAGGAGAGGAGTGACACCTTTGAGTCTCCTCGGTTCCTGAAGGCGATGGGGTGCCTTCTCACTGCTGCGCTGTGGCGGCCCGTGTGGGTGGGGCTGCCATTACCCTCGTTTAGCCGCCATGACCCTGAGGCCCAGACCCGTGCAGGACTTGCCCCCAGGGGCAGAGCTGGGAGCAGACCTGCCATCTGCCCCCAGGGGCTCTTCTGTGATAGAACCATCTAGTGGCTGCAGGTGGCCCCTGGGAAAGAGGGTCGGGTCTGTCTGATGGAGCAGAAGTGGGAGAGGGACAGAGGCTTTTCTCTCTGACCCCGTGTCACCTCACTTTTCCTCTGCCTCTCTCCAGGGAGAGGGCCCCCAAAGAAAAACCCAACCAGCCAGCACTGCGGCAACCCCGCCAGGGACCCACTGATGAGGCCCAGATGGCGGCTGCGGCCGCCCTGGCCCGGCTTGAACAAAAGCAGCCAAGGTCCCGGGGCCCCACGTCGCAGGAGTCCATCCGGAACCAGGGTGAGCGAGACCTGTGCTTGGCCCTGGAGAGAAATAGTTACGTGACCAGCAACTCTGGGGACTTGAAAGTTTCAAGTCGTGGGGGTGGAGGGGAGTGCAGGATGGAAAGGTGCAAGGGTGCTGGGGTCTGGAAGGCTGAGGAGGGGAGAAGGGGGCCGAGACAGGGGTCATCAGGCCATCAGGGGGAGCCTAGGGGCAGGGGGAGGTGGCTCAGTCAGGGGGGCCTGAGTGGGGGAAGGACTCGAACTTGACCCACTCCGGTCTCAGGGGTGTGTGCCTGGGGACAGAGCAGGGCCTACAACCTGCCCATCTCTGCCCTGTCTCCAGTGAGAAAGGAACTTCGAGCTGAAGCGACTGTCAGCGGGAGCACAGAGGCCCCGGGGACCAACACGGTAACGACACCTGCGTGGCAGTGGGACACCCGAGGGGAATCCTGGAGCAGGGGGCTGGTTCTCGCCCGCATTGGTCTAATTGGCCATTTTCTCATTACCAGCCGGGTGCCCAGCGCTGGGCTGGAAGCACATGATGCTGGGGTGGGGGACACAGAGGAGATGTCAGGGTGGATAGAGGTCACGTCTGGCCTCGTGCACAAAGGCAGTTTAGGGGAACCCCGCCTGGAACAGTGGAGGCAGGCTGTGGTTGAAGGTGGGGTTGACTGCGACCTTCACGCTCAACTCCTGCCCTCAGCTGTTTTCTGGGGGAGGTGGGAGGCCTGTCCGGAGACTGGTGTCATCAGGGAGGCCTTGCTGGGGGAGGTGCGCTTTAAAGGAGAGCTTGGCAGAAAGGGTGTTCTGAGCAGCCTGACCCTCGAGGTCTCACTGCGTTTTAGAACGGAAGAGGCTCTAGACAGTGCCTAGGGACGGAGGTCCAGAGAGCGGCCTGGACTCAGCTGGGGCACAGTGACTCCTGACTCGCCCACCGTGGCCTCCTCCTCACGAGATCCGGGGACCACGAACAGCAGGCGCCACTGAGCATTCGCCCTGCGTCCAAAGCCGCCACACGCTTTCTGTTCCCGTCGTTTAGTTGTGAGCTGGCCCTGCAGAGCCATTTTACAGAGCAGAAGGCGGCCTGGGAGGGGCTCCGGAGCAGGGCCAGGGTGTCCCAGCGCTAACAAGCAGAGGGGGTGGCGTTGGGACCAGGGGGCTCAGCCACCTGCACCCCCACCCCACCCCCAGGTGCCCGAGGCCAAAGAGGAAGGCTCAGCCCATCTGGCGGCGCCCAGCGTGTGCTTCACGTGCCCGCTCACCGGGGCCACGCTCAGGAGGGACCAGCGGGATGCCCACATCAGAGAGGCCATCCTTTCGGTGAGTGGCAGCCCCGTTTCCCGTCCCCCCGCCCTCTGGGTCCCGGTGCCAGAGCTGCTCCAGAGAGCTGGGTGGCACGGGTCCTCGGTGACACCTCTGCCTGTGTGGACGGCGTCTGCTTTCGTCCTTTTGAAGAGGCAGTGCGTTTGTGGGGTACGAAATTCAAATGCACCAGTGTAGGTGGAGAAAAGCCACCCTTCCTGGAGGTGACCACTCTACGTGGTTTCGGGCCCTTTCCAGAGAGAGGTTCCAAGTAGGTACAGCTGTCGAACCCCCGAGCCCAGGGTCCGAGTTTCCTGTCCCCGGTGTAACAAACTCTGACGAAGCTGGTGGCTTCAAACTGCTTCAAACGGCAGCTGCCCTCCCACCAGGGTATTGCCCACCCCCCAGCCCCCACCATTCCTTCCCGGTTCTGGAAGCTAGGAGCGTGCTGCGGGTCCGACTGGGCTTAAATCAAGGTGGCAGCGGGCCTGAGTTCCTTCTGGACACTCCAGGGGACAATGTGGCCTGGCCTTGTCTAGCTTCCAGGCTGTCCCTGGTGTCTCCATCCCTCCTCACAGCCCGCGCACCAGGCCCCGGCCTTTCTCAGGCTGCCTCTCTTCTCTCTTCCCCTTGAAGGGACCTCGACATTATGCTTCACCCACCAGGATAATCCAGGCTAATCTCCCTATTTTAAGGCCTGCTAATGAGCAGCCTTAACTCCACCTGCCTCCTTACTGCCCCCCCCCTGTGTTAACTGAACATATTCGCAAGACCGAGGGGTGAGGACAAGGGCATCTGTTGCACCTTACCCCGAGTTCCCCGGTGTTAAGGTGTTAACGTTTTTCCCCATTTGCTCTCTCACCCCTTTCTAGTTTTTTCTGAAGCATCTGAGAGAAAGTTCTACATCGTTAACGACTTCACCATAAGTCCTGTAGCCGTTTAGCCAGCTCCTTGCTGAGGAGCATGCTGGGAGTGCGTCTTTTACTGGTGGGAACGCGGACGTGCCGCAGAGCCTGGGCCGCGCGTTTCTCTGAGCGCTGGGCTCAGTCCCGGGGCGGGCGGGAGCGCTGGGTGGACGCGTGTGTGCGGCGTGGGCAGCGGCGGCTGCTGCACCTCCAGGGGTTCACGCTCCACCGCATCATGGTGCCCACACCCTCCCTGGGGTGTGCAGACTCTTTGTCTTCACCCGAATTGATAGGTGGAAATATCTCGAGATAGTTTTATCGTGCATTTCCTTCATTTGGGTTCAGATTGGCCATGTTTTCCTATGAGAATGCATCCTTTGGTCATTTTTCTGTCGGGTAGTGGGGCTTTTTATGTACGTATGGATGGATGGATGGATGGATGGATGTTTTAGGTAGGCTCCATGCCTGGAGCGCCTGGGTGGCTCAGTCGTTAAATGTCTGCCTTCGGCTCAGGTCATGATCCCGGGGTCCTGGGATCCAGCCCCACATTGGGCTCCCTGCTCAGCGGAGAGTCTGCTGCTCCCTCTCCCTCTCCCTCTGTGTGCGCCCTCTCTCTATTTCTCACTCTTAAATAAATAAGTCTTAAAAAAAAAAAAAAAAGTAGGCTCCATGCCCAGCGTAGAGCCTAGTGTGGGCGATCCCACAACCCTGACATCAAGACCTGAACTGAGACCAAGAATTGGACGCTTAACTGACTGAGCCCCCCAGGTGCCCCTGGACTTTTTCTGAAGTTGATTTGTAGGCACTCTTTGCATATTAGGGAAATCGGTCTTTTGTCTATAATGTGAATTGTGAATATTTTCTTCTAGTTTTTCATTTTTGGTTTGTGCTCATGGTCGCTTTGCTACGTAGAGGTTTTTGATCTTTATGATTAAACGTGTTGGTCCTATGGTTTCTGGGTTTTGTGGCACACTTAGAAAGGCCTTCCCCACTTTAGAATTAAAATGATTTTTCCATGGTTTTTCTAGTGCTTTTCTGTTTTGCGTTTTGTAATTTAATGTTTAAAACTTTGATCCAAAAAAACCATAAAAACCACTTCAGTCCAACTAGAAGCTATCACCCTGTAGAGCATGAGGCATGAAGCCGGTGCTATTTTTTTCCCTGATAGCTACCCCACTTCTCCTCCCCGCCGACACCCCCTTTTATTGAAAACACCTGCTTCTTGGTCATAGTTGTGAAATCTGCCTTTATAACAAAGCACATTCCTGTATGGATTTGGGTCCTTTCTGGACGTTCTGCTCCTTTGTCCCTTGTCTGCTCTCGGGCCCTGGTCCTGATTTAAACGTGGCCGCAGTTCTCCTGGAAACACCTGAGAGCAGCCTTTGGGGCAGCAGCTCTCCCCCGGGGGGGCTGTGGTGGTTCCCGAGGAGGCTGGGAGGACACTCAGGCCTGGCCTGGCCGCGTCTTGAGAACATGCCCCTCCGGCTGTGTGTGTGCCTCCCCTCTGCAGACTGCTTTCTCTGTGTCGCTCTCTGTGTCATCCCCCCCCCCCCCCGGCAACTAAACTGGGAAACTGGGCATCATCTGGCGTGTGATGGCCCCTCTTCCCTAGAGGTGGGGGCAGGATGAGGCCCAAGCCACTGAAGGGCTCTCTCCTTCTCTTCCTTTGCTGAGAACGCACGGTTGCGTGTGTTTCAGGGAAACGCTCCTGGCCTGCCAGGGGACCGTTGTCACCGATGTCACCTGAGCAGTGAGACCGGGCTGCTGGGGGGAGGAAGGGGGGTGGCTGATACATTTCCCTCCCTCCTCCCAGCACTTCTCCACCGACCCTGTGGCTGCCTCCATCATGAAGATCCACACGTTCAACAGAGACCGGGACAGGGTGAAGCTGGGTGTGGACACCATTGCCAAGTGAGCGGGCAGCTGCCCTCCCACCACGGTGTCGCCCCCCCGAACCCCCACCACAGCGTGCTGGGGGAGTCTGGAAGGAACACAGCGCTGGGAGTGCAGCCAGGCCCCACCCTGTGCCCCCCCCCCCCCCCCCCCCCGCCCCGAGCCCTCAGAAAAGGGGCTTGGCTTCTCTGGGCCTCAGTTTACTTGTCTGTAAAATGAAGGGGTTTACCAAATCAGGGGGTCCCAATCCTGGCTTTCCTTCGGGATCATCGGAGGAATGCGTGAAGGAGGCAGGGTACCACCCCACTCCCGTCCTCTGTTCGAACAGGCCTGGGGGAGGAAGGATGCCAGGAAGTCCGTGCAGCTCATGAGCTGCTGGGGACCCAGAGGCTTTAGTGGTCCATTATTCTGGCTCTGTCTGCTGCACCCCACTGCTGTGTGTGTTGGTGCCCTCAGGGGAGGCAGGACCAAGGAGGAGGCCCGGGGTCGGTCCCCCGGTGGGCTGTGTCAGGGGCAGCAGTGGGGGCTGTCAGCACCAGGGGGTGGGCTTTGTGGGGCGGCCAAGGTGCAATGGCGCCCCTCTGGGGTCACTGTCACCATGAGGCCAGGTAGGACTCTTCAGCTGCTGCTTGCTGTTCCACCCCAGGTACCTGGACAACATCTGCCTGCACCCCGAGGAGGAGAAGTACAGGAAGATCAAGCTGCAGAACAGAGTGTTCCAGGTGAGGCTGCCCCGGGCGGCCAGTGTGGCCGGGCCCTGCGCACGCACGCACATGCACGCACGGCGCCCCGTGCAGCGGGGAGGCAGCTCACTGCGGCCCGGGGGGGCCAGAATCGGGCAGCTGGAGGGCTCCTCCAGGGATGGTGGGGTGGGGTGGGCGGCCGGAGGCGGACAGGGAACCGGGGCTTTGTGAACACAGGTCGTGCATGACGTGTATTTTGTCTGCTCTCCCCACCACCTCCAGCGGGTTTTGATTTTAATTTGAATGCTTTGGGAAGCCGTCATCACTGGTGAGGTTTCTCCCATAAACGCAGACTTGGGGTTTCTGTGGAGAAATCTCAGGGTCCCGCCACCGTGGCCCGTGTTAGCTGTGCTACTGGCAGGGCGCCTGCTGTCCCCTGGTGGCCGTGGACGCCGCCTGCCCCCTTCCTGCCCCCTTCCTGCCCCCAGCATCACACGCAGCCGGTCTCCCCCACCTCTGGACCCTCCTGTTGTCCTTTGGCTCTTCAGCCTCCTTCTTCACCTGCTTGGTGACCTCCGCGGGCCGCTGGTGGAAGCCCTGCAGCCTGTGTGGGGGCGAGCGTGCTCCGCTCTGGGGATGGCTTCAGTGGGTTCACCCCATTAGCAGTTGCTCCAACACTAGGGAACTCGGAGCTGGGCAGGGTGGTCAGCGAGGCTGGTGGCCTCCCAGAGGCCCCAGGGCCTTGTGTGACCTCTGGCTCTACTCCTGCAGGAGCGCATTAACTGCCTGGAAGGGACCCACGAGTTTTTTGAGGCCATTGGTTTCCACAAGGCGCTGCTTCCGGTTCCTGATCAGGGTAAGGGAGGTAGAGCAGGGTCTTGGCTGTGCTGGGAAGAGGAGAGCAGGGTGGGGGCCTCTCCCCGCGGCAGTAGAGTGACCTCTGTGCATGCCCCAGAGGGCCCCGATGAGTTCTACGTGCTGAGCGAGGCCGCCCTGGCCCAGCCCCAGAGCCTGCAGAGGCACAAGGAGCAGCTGCTGGTCGCCGAGCCCGTGCGGGCCACACTGGCCCGCCAGCGCCGGGTCTTCCGACCCTCGCCCATGGCCTCCCAGTTTGACCTGCCCGGGGACTTCTTCAACCTCACGGCAGAGGAGATCAAGCGGGAACAGAGGCTCAGGTCTGAGGCCGTGGAGCGGCTGAGCGTGCTGCGGACCAAGGCCATGCGGGAGCGGGAGGAGCAGAGGGAGATGCGCAAGTACACCTACACGCTGCTGCGCGTCCGCCTCCCCGACGGCTGCCTCCTCCAGGGTGGGTGCCCGCGGGGCCGGCGCTGTGGCAGGAGGAGGGGGTGGGCCCTGGTGTGCTCCCGGGGGGTGCTCCTGTGGACCACAGCCCCACTGACTGTCCTGCCCCACCCAGGGACCTTCTATGCCCGGGAGCGGGTGGCCGCCCTGTACGCATTCGTCCGGGAGGCCTTGCAGAGCGACTGGCTGCCTTTCGACCTGCTGGCCTCGGGCGGGCAGAGGTTGTCGGAGGACGAGAGCCTGGCCTTCAACGAGTGCGGGCTGGTGAGTGACGGGCTCCCTGCATGGGGTTAGGGGTGGCGGGGGAGCATCTCTGGGTTTCCCTGCCCTGCACAAACTCCCCGAGAGGGCGGCCACTTTCAGCGGTGGGCGGCGTGGGGGCCGGGGCCCTGGGTTCGAGTCCCACCTTCCCATGTACGTGCGGCATGCCCCCAAGTGCTGTGTCTCTGCCTCGGTTTCCACCTAGAGAGTGGGAACATGGCAGGCGTGTTAGAGTCGTCTGCGGAGCAGAACCAAGGCGGATGGATCGGAGATGAGGGACTTACTGGGGTTGGGGAGGGGTGCTCAGACCCTCCCTCGGGAAGACTGGAGGGACGGCCGCTGGCTGGGGTGTTCGCCAGCCCGCGGGAATGAGCTGATTGTGGTGGGTGCGGTCACTGGCGGGGAGCTGCCCGGGGCGAGTGTGGCCCTGGCTCCAGCACGAGGGAATGAGCGTGAAGACGCCATCACGTAAAGGCCAGAGTGGGGCTGAGGCTTCTCGCCCCGCTGCAGGTGCCCTCGGCCCTCCTGACCTTCTCGTGGGACGCAGCAGTGCTAGAGGACATCAGGGCCGCCGGGGCCGAGCCGGACTCATCTATTCTGAAACCTGAGCTCCTGGCGGCCATTGAGAAGCTCTCGTGAAATAAAAGCAGGGTCGGCTTTAGCGCGCGTGAGTTTGTCTCATGCTCTCCTGCTTCCTCCACCACTACGCCCCCGACCCTGTCTCCTCCCTCCCAGGGTGCCCCGCTCCTCCGGAACTGCCCGCCCTGGCCCACCGAGCACTGCAGGCACAGGGAGGGGGCTCGTCGGCTGCGACACGTGCCTGGGCCAGCCACCTGGAGAGGGCTCTCGGGGCACAGCCGCCGTACCTGTGCACGGAGCCCCTGGGCAGGAGGGTAGGCCTGTGGCACGGGCCCAGTCCCTGTGTGCTGTGGCCCAGATGGCCGCGGCTGGCCCTAACGCTGAGCCACGGGGTTGCTGGGGACAGCGGCAGAGGGAGATGCGGGGCCTGTCAGGACACGGTTCTGTGATTACTGAATTATGAACCCAAATAAACATCGGACTAGTCTCCTGGTGAGTTGAAGCTGTGCCATGCAAGGCAGGGGCAGTGGCTGCAGGGCTGCCGGCACAGGAGGCCCGTGTGTGGCTCCCGGGAGGGTGAGGTCAGGTGGGCACCTGCTGAGGGCGGGCAGAACAAGGTCCCCACAGGTGGCCCATCCTCAGCCCCGGTCCCTGGGGTGGTTACTTTATAGGACTAAAGGGGCTGTGCCTGTGATTGGTGATACCCAGATGGGGAGTGTCCTGGGTAGGCAGGTGGGCCCAGTGTCACACCTGGAAGGGGGCGGAAGGTGGCAGAAGATGCCAAGCTGCAGGGGTCAAAGGTGGAGGAGGGGCCCCGAGTCCACACGGGCACCTCTGGAAGCTGCAAAAGGCAGGCAGGTGGTGCCCCCTCCAGGGCTTCTGGAAGGAACTGGCCCTGCCTACACCTTGGTTTCTAACTCACGAGGCCCACATCAGACTTTTGACTCCCAGAACCGTAAAAACAAGTTTGGTTTTAAGCCAAGTTCGTGGTGGTGTGTTTTTGCAGCCACAGGAAGTGAGTAACAGGGAAGCTGAGCCTGGAGCACGGGAAGCACTGGCCCTGGGCACGCCCCAACGGAGAGGCCCTTGACCGCTCATCTGGACTGTCCCCGCCTCCCCCCCAGGGCAGTCCCTTCCAGACCCTCTTTTCCTGTGCACGGAGGCCTGTGCTGGCTGGTCCTCTGGCCACCGCCAGCTCAGTGATGGACAGACTTGAAGCTTTGAGCCCCAAATGTGATTTCAAAACCAGAAATGCCTTGTAGCCCCCCCCTCAGTCAGCAAATAGCCCCTCCACACGCGTTTGCTTCCCACCTGGGCCACCAGCTGCTCTGTTCCCACATAGGGCAAGACTGGGGCCTGTCCTCTGCTGCCCCATCTCGGTCCCCGCCAACTGTGACTTGGTGTTGACTGCAAGTTGTCAGGTGGCCAACTAAAATGGGTTGCAGGGGACCCGACTGGCTGAGGTAGCCCCGTCCAAAGATGCAGCACACACACCTGTATTCAGGTGTGCCTGCACCCCGCCTCCTGCGGGGAGTCCTGGCCTTCGAGTGCCCTGGGGGTGGGGTGGGGTCACCCTGTCTTGGCCAAATCCAGTGGATGCTGAACACTCCAGGGCGGCGGGGGCAGGAGAAGAACTCGACAGAGGGACCAGGCGTCCAGGTTAAATGGAGTCCATGAGCTCTGCCAAAATCTCAATGCGCCCAGGCCTCTGATGTGCTCTGATGCCTCTGTGGGGCCGCTCACAGCCCCAACACAGGGCTGCTCCAGGGCACAGGGGCCCGCAGATGGGCAGGAGGGATAGACCAGCAGAAGCACCTTCCAGAAGCTGTCACCTTGTACTAGGTCAGCGTAGAGACTGTAGAAGTGGGGACAGTGCTTCTGCAAGGTGTGACTTTTTATACAAATGACAGAGCCATGCACGAGGTAGGGGAGTGTGCACCCGCCAGCCTGGGGGGGGGTGGGGGGAGGGTGGTGCGGCCAGCCCAGGGGATGGAACGTACCCACTCACAAGAAACGATGTTTGAAAAGACAACAGACGCACCGGGTCAGGGCTGGACGATAAGTTTATACACACCCACTTCAGGTCCAACTCATTTACAAGCATTTCATCACAGCGCCTGCTTGGGGGCCCGCAGGCGCGACCAGACTGTCCCTGTACAGGTCCTCACATCGCAATAATGCTTTATTAAAGGGCAGGTTAATATGCAGCTTTTGGAGGGAAAATTTTTACAAATATCAAAAGGAACAAATCAAGCATCCTCTATAAAACTTTCCAGACCTCCGGGGAGGCCTGCGAAGCAGGACAAAGTGCTCTTTACACAGGACTCGTAGGACTTTCAAGTATCCAAGAGGCGTTTGTGAATGCCCTAACCATTCTACCTACACACACCGGGCCGGCGGGGCACTCAGCAGGGGCCGAGCGAGCGGGCGGGCACCGGGCTCTCACTGGTGTCCATTACCATGGACCCCCCGGCTCCAGAAGTGGTTCCACACGGGGCCGGAGCCTCTGCAAGGCAAGAGAGGGAGGCGGCTTTAGCTGGCGGCACCCCCAGACTGGGTAGGGGCCCGAGTCACTGCCCCCCCGACCCCCGTGCCCCCCTTCAGACAGCTACACTCACTCACAGCCCTCAGAGCCTGTCCCCTCCTCAGCTCACTCGGTAAGAGTCAAATGTTGGCCTCCCCCACTGCCCACTCGGCTCCCCGCCCCCTCCTTAGGTCTCCCCGACTGAGCCCCTTCTACAGTAGAGCCAAGACTACACCCTAAGACTCCACCACTCCCCTCCTGGGACTCAGCCCAGGGGTTGGCACTGCAGGTGCAGCACTGCTGAAAGAGTCTCCGGGAAGCTTCTGGAACAGCGCCCCAATGTGGTCAGCATCCCAACTGCTGGCCCATTACTGTACCTATTTCTGCCATGGCTACTGAGTCCAGTCCTGCTGTGCACATGGCAGCTTTCAGAGAACTCAGATCCTGCAGACCTTGGACCAGAACCCACCGTCCACACCCACCCAGCCCGCCCAGCGCCTCTTGGGGTCTCTTAACTCAGCCCCACTCTCTACAGACAGGAGGCGCGTGGAGCGAGCGCGCGTGCATTCGTCCTTTCCTGCCAGGCTCTCACCCCCAACATCCGAGATGTCCAGGATCGCACAGTCGCCGTCCTCCTCCTCCTCCTCCTCCGTGTCCGCCTGGAAGCCATCCAGGTCCCCAGCTCCCACCTGGGCAGACAAGGGTGCATGGGCCATCAGCAACAGCAGGTGGGCCGCTGTGCCCCTCCAACCTCCACCCGATCTGGCAACAAGTTTGAGGGGTCTGCTTGAGAGCCTATGAGCAAAGGAGCCTTGTGGGGGGAGAGAAGGTTCTCTCAAAGGACCTCATTCAGATCTCCCCAAATGACCACCGGCATTATTACATTACAAAAATAATTTGCCGTTTCTGAATCCGCAATCTGGGTTTCTGGTTTGGTCTGAAAGAGACAAGGATAAAGACCCACTTTCTCAGCCAGGCAGCGTCTCCTCCTCTGCCCAGGGGCTCTCCCTCTGCCCGGCCCCTGACAACTCTCTCTCGTCACTCATGCTCAGGCCACTGGCGCCAGTGACACCATCCGAGCCGCTGTGGGCACAGTCTCCACCGACTTTCCGGAGCCGCGCTTGCTGGCTTTCACCGGAGGGCACAGAAGGACGGCGTGAAGAAGGAGGCCACTTTTGAACACCAACCATCCATACAAGCGCCCTGCTCTCTGGAGATGAGCAAAGAACCCGCAGAGGCGGAGACGGGCTTGTTTCAAAAGGGGGGCTGTTTCTCAAGACTCTCCTGGAATTCCTCTGCTACAGGAAACAGCATTTGCCTGGAGAAGGGGTGGCGGCACAGGACCATGCGGTGAGCAGCCTGCCGGCCCAGCCGGACAGCCCCACAGACATGACGGTGGCCGCCTCCAACCACCTGTTTCCAAAGACTTCACTGGCTAAGGAGAGCATGGCCCGGCTCTCAACCGTGCTGATCGAGAGGCACTCGGCTGGGTCTGTCAAGCAAAAGGAACGAAGCGGTCGCATACAGCCCTTCCCGCTCACGGGCCCTGTAGACAGGACGCACAAGCGCAGATGAACAAGGCTCCCCACACGTCTGCCAGTTTGCAGGGGGGACCCCACCCGCAGCCCTCCAGGCCCAGGACCCACCACACCCCCCATGCTTGGAAAGGCATTTAGCCACGACGAAGAATTGACTCTGGGGAGCATCTATTCAGGGTCATTTTGATCAGATGATTTTTGACTGGAAAGGGAAAATAGGGTCTCTCCCCATTTTAGAAAAAAACTGCGGCCCAAAGCTTGAGTCACCCTGGGGGCCACCCAAGACCACAGACCTGGTGCCTCACCTCAGCCCTGTTCACCTGACTGATCATGACCCCTTGTGAACACATGGTGTAGTAGGACGACTGTCAACTCAAAAAGATCTTTAAATTCCCACAAGATTAAAAAAAATTAACTATAATTTAAGTAAAAATTTGAAAAAAAATTGAATTCCCACAAATTAAAAAAGCTCAACCCAATCTAAAACATCTGCACAGGTTCATAGTTTGGCAACAACTATCCCCAAGAGTAGTGTCCATTAGCGGCTTTACCAAAACACAAGTAGAAACTCCTAGAAGTTTACCTGTGTCTTGCGCGTTTATGTGGGTGCTGTGCAGCTGGGGGCACCCTGGCTAATGCATGCCCCAAAGCCATCCCCCCGCCCTGCCCTGACACAGCAGAACCAGAGTGCTGTTGAGGGCTCCTGGCCAGTCTCATTTACCCAGCCTCCCCTGCAGTGGGGGTGGCTGTGCGACCGAATTCTGGCCAGAAGGACTCCGGTGAAGTCTGCTGGGGAGGGTTTCCCTTTCCAGCTAAACGGAAAGTCTCTGCTGCCTTGGTCCTGCTGGCTGCAGGTGGGACAGCCATTCTGTGACCATGAAGACAAAGGCCACATGCTAAGGAAGGAGAGAGTGGGACACGGGGGAGCCTGTCATTACCGGAGCTCAGGACAAACCCCCATGTGCTGAAGCTGTGACACTGGGGCCCCGTGACCGGCAGCCCGACACTAGGACCGCCAAGTTCTGTGTCCCACTCTGCAGAGCAGGGGTGAGGCTAA